TTGAAGTGTGCAATTGTCTTTAATTTTCAATTGCAGATTTAAATCTTTCAATGCACTACTGTAAATTAGAAACATTATTTATTTTATTTTCGCATATAATTGCTGCTTGTCGTAAAGACAGAGTGCTCGCAGCAACTTCAGATTTACTACTCATTTATTCAGACTACAGTTTCACATTTCGTACAAAATAAGTAATAGAGGCACTTTAATACGTACTAAACTGCCCTACCTATTAGTATATAAAGTACCCAGCCAGTTCAAAAAAAAATATTATAAAAAAAAAATCGTTACATATTGCCCCAAAGTCACATGCAGTTTTAGTTATTGAAAATACTAAACACTTTATGACCTGTAGAACGACAACGGTGAACTGGTGAGCTGCATCATCGCATGTCTATTACTCACACGTACAAAGGTACGTTTCAGTGTTATCACAACTAATATTAAGTCAGAAGGTAATGGAGATAATGCAGGTGTATGAATGTGCTTTGTATCAAATTGCCCCGCTACCCCCTAATGTGATAGTATCTATTCTCTCTCCCCCCGCCCCCGCCCCTCTCTGCTTTCTCTCTCCCTCTCTCTCTCTCTCTCTGACTGGCCGTTACCCAATGTACGACAATTTGTAAAAAAATAAATAATTGTCTCGGATTGTCAAATACTTGCAAAATTTCAGATTGATTTTTTAATATTTTTATACGTTTATCATGTTCAAAACCAAGGATCATTTAACTCTATTTACTTAAAATAATTTAAGCCCAATATATTAAAAACAAATCAAAAACTATGAATGACTTTGGTCATTTAGAAAAAATTATAGTCCGCGAGTTATCATGCCGGTTGTGCCTGTGCACGGATGTGATGAAACTGAAGCCACTCAGCGCCGAAGTGAAACGTAAACTGAAAAGGCTCTTCGACATCGTCGTAAGTACTAAAGTATTTATACATATTTTTCACCTAATTATTCAAAACTACCTACTTTAATTCGTGTTTAATTTATACTTACATATATATTTTAATTATTATATTTTATTTATACATAATTACATGTAGGACTTATTTCTTCTTATTCCTTGTCCTAGGTTCGTACAGATGACAATCTCCCAAAAGCAATATGCCACGAGTGCCTCCAGCAAGTGAGCGCTCTCCATATGTACACAGTAAAAGTGGAAAAAACGCAGAAGTTTCTCGATTTTCATAAAACGAAGAACATAGAAGAAAAACTTAATGGAACAATGGATGCATCCAAACTAAATCCCATCATAACGCCTGTGCTACCAGAACATTTTGCAGTTGATAGAAAAATAAGTAACACCCCCAAACCCAAAACACCACCGGTTGCCGAATTCCAACAAGGCGATATAAAGACACCCAAAAACAAGCTTACATCTAAAAAGAAGTCTCCTTTAAATTTGAAGTTTATGGAGTCAATGCCTTTGGATGAATTCGCTAAAGCAGAGGAAGTGGATAAATCACTCCTGAATAGCGCATCAGTGGTAAACAGGCCATCTCGCTCTAGAACAACGCCCTCGCCACGTTCACCGACGAGGCAAAAAGAGAAATTAGAAACTGTTCAACATCTGATCGATCTCAAAAGCGACATTTTGGACCCCATTGTGCTAATAGATGGCAGACCTGCAAAGCACGGTGCCGCCTTAGACAAACAGATAACTTTGTTTTACAAGATGGAGTGTGGTATATGTCACGAAAATGGATTCCATTTTAGATCCTTGATGAAACATTACAAAGAACGGCATGGAGTACCTGGATACGTGTCATGTTGCGACAAAAAATTCCATTACTTTTATCCCAAAAAGATCATCGAACATATGGCATACCATCTTCAACCAAATATATTCATGTAAGTCTTGTCATATTGGACGACTGTTGCAAGTGATAGGCTGCTAGTTGAATATTTTTATCAGAAGAGTTACCAAGTTTAGAACTTATGAAGCGATTTCTTAATGCAGGTGTCCGAGCTGTCATCAGAACTTCCAGACCTCGCAAGAGCTCTCTGAGCATCAGAGCAACGGTGGCCGATCAGAAGGCAAGATTATTTGTCCAAGATGTAACGAACGCTACCCGACCTACCACGAACTTGGCTGGCACATTGTAACCCATCGAACTGACAAGATGCAATGCGACTACTGTGGCAAACAGTAAGTGTAATAGCAGCCTACACGTATTGGGGTAAACAGGCGAGAGAGCTCTTCAAACGTGGAAAAGAGCTTCCTTTTTTGGAACATAATAGCCCGGAAATTGCAATTTTTTAGGTAAAATGTGTTTAAGGCAACTGCCGCAAGTATATTTATCGTCTGATTTAATTGTATGATTGACGTTTTCTTGTCTGCTTAATTTTGTCTGGATGACTAGGCAAACTAATTTAAATTTCACTAAAAGGCGCTTACGAATTGCAATTAGTACCTAATCATGTAGTTTGAATTTGAGATCAATTTTTCTGCTTATATAATGGCATGTAGTTAAATGAGCGAAAGCAGCAGACAAAAAATCTAAACGGTCGTCTTTTTTAATGATTGATCCTCTTTCTCCAAGATATAAAATAAATTAAATCAATGGATATTGTAATTTGTTCTGCTACGTAAAAAGTGTTTGATTTCTATAAATTAACCGTGATACTTAGTTTTATGTTGAGCCTCAAAACTAAGACAAGTGAGCATTAAAAATAAAATTTAGATACTTAGTTATTTTTAACACTAAGTGAATGTTGATTATCCTTGTATACTAACATTATATTAATTATAATATAATTAGCCCTGGAAACATGTTCAGAAACGCTAGCAAATTGGCTTCTGGCTGCTTTTTCATGTACTAACCTAACCTACTGAAAGGGCCGCGCAACTAAGATTTATTAGGAGATCAATATCAAAAGATCTGGTTATAAATGTCATCAATCGTTAAAAGAAAAGACGAATAAAAAAAGAGGATCAAAAATTATTTTCGAATACCAAATATTAATTTAGTATGCTTAAATATAATGAAGTTAAGTGTTACCTTGAATGCAGTTCATTTATAATTTATCCGTAGATCAACTAATATAGATGGAACAATTATTATATATATCAAACATAAAAAATATAGTTTTTAAAGAGCACTTTTACAATAGCTCAATTATATCTTTGAAAATCAAATTCATATTATCCCCTTATATATACTCGATCTGGTTCATGGAAGTTTACTTTCGTCCTTAGGCTAAAGCATCACCACCGAAAGAAGACAATAAACCACATGGAAGCAGTAATACTATGTTCACAGTGTATACGTTCACTGAGAAATATAGAAAAACAAGAAAAAGAGATTGTGAGTAATCCTTGGACATTTTTTATGTTAGTGGATTATTGTTTAATTTTGTTGTGTTTGTGTCGTTGTATTATGTACTGTAAACATGTTTTGGTAATAAAGTTAAACATTTTAATGTATCATTTCATTACTCCTTCACAGAAAGAAAAAGTAAAGGCAAAGAGCAACGATGTGCTCACACTTCAAAAGCATAAGAAATTCAGACAAGCGATGGGACTATCGGGCGATGAGGACGCGTCTACGGACTAATTGACGCGGAGTGGCTTAAAAAAAATAGCAAATTTGTTAAAGTTTCTACAGCATCCTCAAAATTATATATCGGCCTCCGTACAACAAATACATATATATGTGTATATATATATAACATATATTATATATCATATATATATATATGTATTATATGGTCGTGAATTTGACCATTAAAAATAAAAGTGTTTATCATTGGTGTCGTGAAGTTTATTAGACATTTTCTATGAATCTTTGACTTAATTTATTCTAGCCTACGCTTCTTGACGAGAGCCCCTAGAAGATCAGAAATGGCGGGCAAGTTATTAGTCTGATCATTAGCTCCTGTATTCAGGTTGGACAGGGGAATATTGAGCTGGTTGGAGGAATTCTTTTGGCCCTTCATATTTCTGTGTTGCGGGAAACTGGGCATCAGCTTCGGATCACAGGCTGTAAAAGACATTTAAAATTTCGTAAATAGGACAACCAATATATAAGAAAGAACATGAAGACAGCAAAATAAAACATGCAGAAACAATACTTTTCCATGATGATGATGGCGTTCTTTAGGGGAGGCCTATGTTTAGCAGTGGACGTCTTTCGGCAGAAATGGATCACCAAGAAAGATGTAAGATGTAACATTCATCAGATGATGATGTTACATGATCATCAGATAATGTTACATGCGTCTTTTTATAACACTCTAATTCTGAACAGATTCTCCGTCAAATGAAATATAGTTAGATTTCTGCATGAAATATACTTACGCAACGGTTGCTCCTTGAAGTACGAACTCTGTAGACACTCTTCAGCAGTGGCACGCTTATTGGGGTCATACATGAAAAGGAAGTTAAGCAGACGCAGTCCGGCCGCCGAGAGCCAGGGAAAACGCTGCTTCAAATTATTGTATGGCTGTTGTTTAAGGGTGAAGTTCTGTAGAGCCGGCAGAGAACTGAATTCTGGCCAGATCGCATCAGATGGAGTACCTAAAATTTTCATTAGTATCAAGTAGGTTAATAACTAAGAATATAAATGCGAATGTAACTTCTATCTGTTACGTTTTCACGCGTAAACCGCTGAACCAATATTAATTAATTTTGCTATAGAGATAGATCAGACCTAGGAGAAGGAAATAGACTATTTTTTGTCATAAAAATAAATCTTAAAGGAGTTGAAATAGGGGACCAAATCTTGTATAGGGCACCAATAAAACTATGAAAATTAGTATAGGTACAGTACAGTATCTACTCGAAGTGCTTGTTATATGCAGACGTAGTCGCGGGCACTAGCTAGCATAAAATATTCCTCTCTACGAGGCAACCCCAGAAGTTGTCGAAGAAAACTTTCTTCGGCCGAGTGTCGAACAATCAAGTGTCGAATATATTTTTGGTTTTAGTGTTTGTGACTGTATTTGCACTTGTGTCATTTATTTTATTAATTTTTTGTAATAATAATAACGTACACCTCATAGCCCCGCACTAGGAAAACCCTGTATCATGGGTGCCGTGAACACACAGACAACCACTAAATTACATCCAAACTCCCGAGAGAAATAAACGTAGGCCATACAAATATTTCTGGCGGCCCGGAATCGAACCCGGACCTTAAGCGTGACAGTCCAGTGTGGTGACCGCTCAGCCACGCAGGCAGTTAAGTGTACGGAAGGAGGGTAGGAAAATTTTAATTGCCTGAAAAAAATTCAACAGATAACGCGCAGATAACGCGCAACAGAACGCAATAATTTTGCACGAATTCACCTTCATTAAGTTCACGGAATAGCACTTTACTTCAATTTTTTTTAATATGCAAAACTACTTTTTGATACAACCATTACAAGTCGAGTACTTGTTTGATGACTTTGATGATTTCGCTTTATTTCATCACCTCGCACCTTTATTTTTTTTGTAACTCAAATTAAATGTAGGTAGTCTGTATAAATTGTGCTAAGTAGCACACAACAACACTCATTAAATTACCAAGCAAATCCACGATAAGTTCAAGTTGCTCAATCTCAGTCCTGCCAGGCAATAATGGTTTGTTAGCCAGTAGTTCCCCGAGTATACAACCAGCGGCCCACATATCTAGTGCGGGCGTCTGCTTCGGTGACTGCAGTAGCAACTCTGGGGCGCGGTACCAGAGCGTCACTACGCGGGGAGTCGCGGAACGAGATGGTGCACCCAACCATCGGGCAAGACCGAAGTCCGCTGAAAATAATATTTAGTTTAGTTATACATGGTTTCATTGTATTTTAAAATCCTTAGTTTACGTTATCATTCAAATCAAACTAAAACACACTCGTCAAAAGTATCAAGCATGATTTTGCCAAGTACTGAAAATCAGGTTTTTTTAACCACCATTGATTTTTATGGGTCAATTTAATAAATAAATAAATTTTACATATTATTACTTAATTTTCATATACCTTACGAATCAAACAAAAAAATATACCTTGATTCTTAGACACTTTTCATGTGTGTACTTATTTTAGTTATCTGGTTTTTTATCGACGACCTGGGGGCCTACCACAACCTCTTAAAACAATATTACTTTAACCTTACATTAGACTTTTCGTACCATAACGCGCTTCAAGTAAGCTGATTGTAATGCTAAAACTAGGATGTTTTATTGGCAGCTTTGTGACTATTCATTCACTCAGCTCGTACTATGAAGCGACTTTAACAATAAAGTAATATTGTTCTTAGGTCAAATTTAGCAATGTCAAAATAGTTACACGGATGCAATGGATACAACATTATTTTCAGTTTTATTGTATTAACATTGATTTGTAATGATTAAAAGTCAAACTCATTTATTTACATATATCTCTTCAATATTTTGCTTATTTTTTATAGGAAATAATTTCTCGTTAAATAAAAATACGCGATGTTTATTTCGTAAAATTATGACAGCGGCATCTATATGCTCCTTGGCGAAACTAACAGTTGACACCAGACTATAGTACCAAATTCACGACGTGAATATCAAGACTCGGCTTGTTTTAATTATTTTTCTTCATGAAAATGCCGAATAATTATTGAAAACAACGTAATTTTAATAGATTTTATTATTACATACTTTTCTTTTTTTAACTCAAAATTCTCTGAATTTAAATAACATTAAGTACTTAAACATTATACTAAGATAAGACGATTCGGAACATCAAAAAAATAAAGAGATGGCATTATGTAGTTCACATAGCGTTATCTCATTCCTATTTTTAGTAAGGAATAGACAATATTGGGAAATCATTCGTTCTTTCAATCACTTTTGCAATAATACATTACTTGGTAGACAGGTTCGTCATGGTACGAATACGAGTAATATATAATAAGCTTACTTTAAGCTTATATTGAAATAAGATTGTTTTTGGAAAGGTTATGGTAGGCCCCCTGCGTGGTCGTGTGGCTTGCGGTTGTGACGGTGTGACCTCCTTACACCGTCATCGCACCTCTTTGTATCGCCTCTCTCCTCTTGAATCTTATCATTTTTTTTATTTTACTTGTATTTAAATTTTAAATTTGAATTGTTCCATCTTCCTTCACTTTTTCATTTTGTTTTCGTACCACGGTCACTCCCAGCTCGACCGCCACAACAGTCAGAGCCGCTAATAAGCTAATTATGTGTTATAATTTATAAGTGTACACCCTTCATGTATCTATTTCTGTAATTCAGGTTTTCGGCCCATTTAGGGGTAAGTGCCTTAATAATAAAGTGTAGAGTGTTTTATACTGTTATACCTGTTTTTTTTTACATTTACCTTTATATTGTTACAGCCTTTCTTTAAACTTCACTTCTTTAATAAATTTTGTGGATCGAAAGTTTCCCATTTCATTGCCGTGAACCTGTTCACGGCTAGTTAGGGTTACAACCCTTTCACGGTTGTCATGGTGTCTATATTGCTTCGAGTCCAGGTGTTTGTGATACTGTCGTTATTTCCGGATTCCATAATAAAAGTCCTTTAGTTCCGCTCTTTGGAATCAGAGTGACGTACGGGATGTTGTCCAATATTTATTTAGTTATAGAATTTTAGTCTCTCATTACTTCCACATTATACATTAAATGCATTATTTTTATTCGCTTATTATATTAATAAAAATCATACGAAACTATGTTTTATGCAATGTAAGATAAACTATATAGTTTTCCCGCACATAATAAATTGACGTAAATCCACCGCGTCTCTGTTCATTTTCATATTTTTAAAACTTTATTCCTAATGTATCATGAATGATCAGTTACAAGCTGAATGAAACTCCTTAACAAATTATAAAGATAGATATAGAATTATCTTACCAATCTTAACACATCCCTTATCAGTGAGTAGTAAATTAGAAACTTTTAAGTCTCTATGCACAATGAAATTAGAATGCAAGTACTTGAGCCCTTTCAGTACTTGTAGCATCAAACATTTGACTTGCGATTCGGTAAATGGCGAAGACATGTTGTCCAGTAGAGAAGCTAGATCTTGTTCACAGTACTCCATTGAGAGGAAGATACTGGAAAAAAAATAAAAACCATCATAGGTGTTACAATAATAAGGTTACGAATTCTGCCGTGAAAACCTAAAATATAGTTAAATAATACTTGATAATAGTAAAAAACGCATGCATTTTTATAAATTTCCCAATCACAAGACTATTTTGCCACTGTACAACCGTGCTTAGTTGCGACTTGGGGTGCACGAAAAGGGCCTCGCCTCACGCAAAAAAATTTTAGAAACAACTTTCAACAACACAGTTCTATTATGTGTCAATAGATGGCGCTTCAAAATATTCAAAGAGTTTTGATTTAAAGAAAGTTGGTTTTCGAAGTAATATGCATCTATTCAGTATGACAAGAAATTATTTAAGAACCATAAACATCGAATGTGCATGATTCAACGTAAACAATACAGTGATAGTTTATTTTTCCATAATCAGATTAACATGTGCAACTGAGACTGCAAATGTATATCAGTTGATCTGTTACACAATACAACGACAATGCAGCTGTGAAGATGTAGTTTCACCAACACATTCAAACTTACACGAGTGTTATTTACACAACTACAACTATTTGAGCCTTATCTACCAAACGCACATTTCATTATGTTACAATCATTACCCAAAAAAGATTAGCATTATCTACCAAACACACATTTCATTATGTTACAATCATTACCCAAAAAAGATTAAACTAAATATTGCACAAAACATACCTCTCCAAAGAACGGCCAACAAGAACCTCTTTCAACTGAACAATGTTCTCATGCCTGCAAGACATCAGCACTTGAATCTCTCTAAGTCCACTCAGAGGTAGACCATCTTTCTCAACGTCCATTCTTACTTTTTTCAAGGCCACAACATTGTTGTTTAACTTGTCTTTTGCTCTGTCTGTAATAGGCCATTTTAAAACAAGAAGTGAGTTGTAATTGCTGTAGTATACATAGAAATAATGAACATTAATCAAAAGGCACTCTTCTTCTTGGCATGTTTCTGACATTTATATTTGTGAAAACCAGTACTTAGCGATTTACACAAAAGGCATTGTGTATAGGAAATCTGTTCATGAAATTGTTTCGCGTTTGTCGAATTGGTTAAACATAATATCATTCAATACAAAGGTAGAGAAAAATGTTGTTTGAGGATTCCCTGCTTGAGATTGACACCGTTTCACGGTGATTCACGCTCCATACTAAGGCGGTCATAAATACGTAACTCCGAAATTATTATTTTTTTTTTATTTTATTACGTTAAAATATGATTAGGTAAACGTAAATTAATAAAATTATACATTTTAAAAAAGATTTGACAATATTTAGGTGTAAAAATGTCTCGCAGTAATTTTGTTTTTAGACGATGTATCTAAAACATTTTATACTGCGACTTTTAATGGTAAAACTGTGTAAATAATGATTATTTGTATTAACAATAACCACAAATGAATAAATTAAAACAATAAAAATACATAAAAAAGTTCATTTTACAAAATACAAACAAAACACAAATTATACCAAAATACATTAAATCTCAACAATATTAACTTTAAATACATAACAAGTCTAATACAGCTTTTGACAGTACACCTTTTTTTTTAACAGGTAACTTTCGTAGACCTGTTATGAAGGGATCTGAATGAAGAAGCAGCCTATTTACTAAATCTGTGTTGGTCACAATGCGACACATTTTACGCGTATGATTTTTTCTAAAAGACTTGATGTATTTGTTAGTCGCTTCAGCTGCTTCTTCAGACAACTCTCCGATTGACAACAAACCGTAATCTATAACATTAGCACCATGAATTAGAACTTTGTGAACGGAAGCAGGCATGTTATACCACGGATACTCGGCAACTAACTGCCGAGCCGTCTCTAAAGCGAACTCTTCGAAGTTCGTCTTATTAATATTATATCCCGAATTTAAACATTGAAGGATGATCCAGCAACGATCTAGGAGATCCTTCTTGATCCCAGTAATTTCAGCGGAAATTTCTGAATTCGAGAAAAACCGCCTGGCTGTATTACCATCGTTTGATGTTCCGCTTCCGCCACTTTTAGGCTTATCCACTATAAGCCCTAATCTTTCTCTAAATTGAGTCTGAACATATGATTTTTTTGCAGCAACAAGCATTTTGTCATTAGCGGACCTAGCTTGCCATTTCCTAACATCTAACTTGTACGCGACATGAACAAAATATTCAAAAAAACGTATTAACGCGTGAAGAGGTGATAAACCAAATTCATATTTACTCTCATCGACTTCCTTATTTAAACATTCGTCAATTTTGTTCATTTCACTGGGCAAGGCGTTACAAATAAAACATTTTGATGAAGAAACACCACTAAGTGCATTACACACTTTACCATCTACCATAGTAAGTTGCAAACAATGAGTAATGCGATATTCGCGATCTTCTTCCTTGAAAACAGTAGGCTGCAAGTTCCTTATTTTATCTTTAAAATGAGCTTCTTCCTCAACTGACACTGCAGTCGATTCCTTCAAATATCGGAGGCGTATAGGACGACAGTATCGAGTTGATGAAGGACGAGGATTTTTCCACAAAACTACTGAATTTTCTTTGTTATCTGTTGTCAAAACAAGCTGAAGTGGCACATACGAAGTAACAAACAGGCTACTGTCTTCAAGAGTGGAGTCAGAAAAACACTGTTTATATTCTGAATGCCCTGTACTGCCATCGAAACCCCATTTCCCTATCAAAGATATCTTATCTAGAGACTCATTAGGTACACTATCCAAAACATCTTTTTGAGACTTGAGAATCCGATTGGCAGTATGATCTAATAAACTTTGAAGTTCGACTTCGGCGGATGATTCTGTAACAGTAATATCTGAAGGATAACAGTGTTTTTTAGATTCCACGACACTTTGGTAAGATGGGAAAATGGTTTTTGAAAACTTATTGTCTATAAATTTCTTTACTAATATATATTGATGTCGAGTTAACTGAGCTTCAACAATGAGCGATAAAACTTCGCTAGAATCGATTTCAGGACAAGACAAGCTATCGGACGCATTGAGCAATGACTGTACAAGAGAAGGGTCTTGGTTAGACAAACTAGCCAATCTTCTCCTTTTTGTACGTTTACTGGTGTCGTCAAAGTTAATTCTCGGACGGCCATGCGATGAAGAAGTTGATGGTTTAACTTCGTCAAAGGTCTGAGATACACGTAACTCAGTTCGCTGTACATCAATATTTTCAACGACATGCAGCCAATCTGAATATTTTTCTAAGAATTTAGATCTAGTACGATTCGACTTTGCCCAGTAGTGGGAAATTCGTGTACAAATATTCTTAATTTTAAGGCTTAAAGTCTCTAAATCAATATTTTCGATGTCGTCAGAAAGGGATGATGTTTCGGTCAAAGTGCTCAGGACGTGTTGCATTTTTTCATTTGGATTACCCACTTTAGAGTGCCAAATATCAAAAATTGTCATCCTCGATACAGAACATTTGAAAAATGTACCTAAAACAATATGAAAGCTGAACTTAAAAAAAAATTAAAAATTCAATACTATGGACATGCATACTTTGACACCCCTTTAAGCCAAGAAGAGGCAGCAAGATGCAAATGAAACTTATAGCTCTTAATAAGGACATACTCCTTATTCAAAAACCATATACCTCAGGTGCAGCTCAGCGCAGCCAAAAGTTGTAGGTCTAAAGGAAATTAAGTTATGCCAAAAATTTTCACCAAAAAACTGCCTTCAATAAAAAAATTATATAAAAAAAAGTATGCATAAAAAAAATTTAAAAAAATTGATAATAAAAGTACATACCATGCTCTTGGATCTCCATGCTTTCACAACACGTAAACACTTGATTTGGAATAGTGACACTCAAAAACAAAGTGATTAAGTTTCGATGACTCACACGTGGTGATAATTAGTCTCGCGATGCGCTCACTTCCGATGCACAAAAGTGAATGATAACGTGACCTAATTACATTGATATTTATAGTTTTTGGAAGCTTGTTAACTAGTTACTAACTTAGTGAGTTGATCTAACCGGGATAAGCCAATGATTTTTTTTGATTTATGGCCTATGGGGGAATCACAGTGCGTTTGGTTAAATAATCCTTAAATATATTTAGACTGGTTCCACGAACTCCGATATATTCCATTTATTTTCCACCAGTCTGGGGACAGAAACCGTGACAAATGCCTTAGACAGGTCGAAGAAGATACCATAACATTTACTTTTGTTGTCCAGCTTATCAACTACACTGTTAATAAAGCCCGTAACTGCATCTTCAGTAGGTACCTGATCTAGAACGGAAACCATATTGATTTTCGGAAATAATGTTATACTATTCAAGATAACTGATTAAGCGATTATTAAGTATCCTTTCAAATATTTTAGATAAACAACTGAGTACTGAGATGGGTCTATAATTATAGACAAGACAAGAGCCTTTTTGAAAGGAAAAACTCCAGACGAAATGGGAAGATTGCAGAGATAAATGATTGGGAGAATAAGCATATTACGGGAGTTTGATGACCTTTGCCGGAATACCATCCCATCCGACGGCGCAGTTAACAAGCATTGACACAATTATTACCTCCATCTCTACTTCATGCAGTCGAGGTCTCGAATAACGACTTCACGCATTAACTGCATGCAGTCGATCTCGGCTGCATGCAGTCGATCTCAGTTAATGCGTGAAGTCGTTATCCGAGACCTCGACTGCATGAAGTTGATAACGACTTCACGCATTAACTGCAAACATGCAGTCAATCTATTAGCAGCCTTTAGACACATCGACGCATCAAAATCCTAAAAAAGAATATGTGCTCTAATGATCAACAGCCAAAAAAGCGATTTCTCTAAAGATCTTTGGATTTAATTTAGTCATAATCTCAGTACAGAGTACTAAAAAAACCGACCTCAAAAGTACGTGGAATTACATATAATTACCAAGTTTTATTGAAATCTGTTACCGGAAAGTGCGCAAACCCGGATTCATCCCCTAGTTCGCCACTATACGGGATTTGACCCAGGAGATAATAAAAATCGGTTCCCACTACTCAAAGCATGTTGAGAGAGAAAAACGCCTTGAATTGGAGAATAGCAAAATCAACCATTAAAATAATTGCTCGTTATAATAAAACTTTGGCGCTATTTATAAAAATGAATCTTCATGCGTGAACAGCCACTCTTAGAGGTGGATGATTTTCTTCAAAATTAAATGGGACCACTATGGAGGTACCCTCTTTCCAACAAAACAAGAAACATGAAAATCGGTGCACAACTACCGGAGTTATTTATTTATTTGATTATAGACGAGCAGCTTTCGCTGGTATGTATACATCACAGTGTTGAAATTTATATCGTTGTTAGTGAATCAGTGCTAAAAAAGTGAACTAATTTTTAGCACTGATTCACTCTTTCGTAGCGAGTTGTCGAGCTTGTTTGTGAAGGCATTAACAGAGACAGCAGAACTAACATCTTCCAGTAGCATGGTCCAATTGTGCACCACTCTATTGCTGAAAAAATTGTGTGCAGCAGGAGTTTTGGAAGGTGTGCGAACTAGTTTCAGATGGTGACCACGTGACGGTTTAAAGTTTTCTTTTCTTTTAAGGATGTTTTGTATTGCCGATAGATTGTACTGACTCATCAGAATTTTATAAGTCTCAATGAGGTCACCACGAATATCGCGTAACATACATACAAAAAAAAACCATAAAGTCGAATTGAGAACCTCCTCATTTTTTTGAAGCCAGTTAAAAAGCAATAGGTATTTAAAATCGATTTTGGTGTACCATGGACACATACATAGACAACCACAAATTACACATAAACTCATGAGAGAAATAAATGTAGGCCATACAAATATTTCTCCTGGCCCGGGAATCGAACCTGGGACCACTGCGTGGCAGTCCGACATGGTAACCGCTAGACCACGGAGGCAGTAACCTTTTGGCCACGGAGGAAAAAAGAATGATAAAAAAATGTGATGCAGATGAAGGAGATGAGCATCATCATAAACAGGATCTCAGAGAGAACAAAATAAATGTTTTTTAGTGTTTAAGCTCATAATAAGACATACTTAGACCAGATCTTGTGCCATGTATATCGTTATATTTTTGAAAATTAAAAATTGTATGTCAGGCGTGACATTTAGATAACCAGAATATGCAGAGGTGGCATACAATCAGCACATCACCAACATGGTACCAGGTGGGAGACTTCTTTCTTTGAGAAATAGGTGGACCAAATTTTAAAATCTAAGAGGGAATAATTTGAACATATATAATATACATATTTTTTTCTTAAACTGACTTTTAGGAAAAAGTTTTAAGCAAAATTTCATTTCATTATACAAATGTCGAAAAATGCAGTCTTCATTGCGACTCTGAAATCTTCTAAATACTCCACATGAGACAGTATCAGTGGCAGTCAGCATAAAACACTGCTTAAATCAAATACCAAGTTGACAAAATTGTTTGCCAGTAACAAGGCTAGGCAGTATTTGACCTAAGTATTTGTAATTCAGAAGCATCGGAACAAAAACCTCATCGGTCACATTTTGACTTTCTTCTTATTAATTGCCAAATGGTACATTTTGTTCAAGTCTATGAATAATTTATCCAACCCAAACATCAACCACTAAATATGCTTTAAAACTATGTTTCAAATGCACGGATCTGAACCCAGTGTAACAAATATTGAATGAAACTAGACGAAATTAGAATCAAGGTTCATCAGATTTATTGGTTTTTGTCTGGAAACTCCTCAATCGAAATGCGTATTTGAAATAAATATATGTAACAGTCAAATCAGTGTCGAAAGCCAAATACTAAATGCAAAGATCTTTTTGAAATTTTGTTGACTTAGAAAACTCAACCTATAGCTTACTTGGTAAAGCAATAGAGACAGAATCGCAAGATCGCAGGTTATTTCACAAAAAAATAAAGCAAGTCAATAATAAATATACATATTTTGCATTTTTTTAACACAATCCAATCGCTATTTAGAGAGTATAACAATGCCCAATATAATTAATGGTAATTATTTTAAATGTAACAAGACCATTATTAAAAATTACTTACATACAATACCATAAGTACCCTCTCCAATGCGATTCAATTTTTCGAATTCTCCCACAAATCGGCAACGGCCCAGCTGAAATGAAAATAAAGTATCACTCATAACACAAAGATTTTTAAGGGGTAGGTACATAATGTATTGGTTAGGTTTACGCACAATGTCCTTTTCAGGTATATCCATTGTCTTCCCAGTTCTAAAAGAAATGAGCACCCCTTTACGTGGAGTCGGTCCAGTTGGATCCACGACATCCTGAGTCGAAGGCTTTTCAGAGTCTGAAAAACGATTCAAAAATGATGCGAATTTTCAATACCAACATTGTTATGTTTAATCAACACAACGTTGTCAAAAATCAAAACTTTACTTTGGGACATGCTTCGCAATAATATTTTGTTTCTTGAGTAATCCTTTTATTCTTTATTTTATACGAAATTATCCACGTACAACTACAAGCCAATTTCCCGTCCCCAAACAAAAACAGCCGGTTGTAGTTGTTTTTTCAATTCTTTGAGTAAAGGACAAGGCAAAGGTTTCGCACAATACAGCCAAATCTCAAAATCTGGGTAAAATTTTGCTTCTTCTATAAAAAAATTTCCGGTGACACCATGACAGTTGACAGTAGAGATATGAAGTAATGTGAGTAATATTACAAAAGTGATATCACGCGACAGCGTAATGTGATATCACGCATCATTTTGGAAAATTATGCATAATTAATAACATCACCCATTGTAATTTCTGAATTGGAAATTCAGAATAAAACAATTGAGATCATGGTTTCATGTAGGCTTGAGTAGTTCATGATCTAAGAACTATTCGGAATAATGCAAGTTCTAGTTCTAGAAATGCGTTTCATAGGTTATGCTCAACGCATCTCATTTTTAGGCCATGTGATGTTGTGGGTAATAGTGATATAACAGTGCAATATCCCTTTTACGGTAATGTAAAGTGATATCACATTATACTTTTCGAGGTATTGTTTGCGCGTTTAGTTGACAGTTGGTTCAAAAACTTAATTCAATTCCACCTTATATGGTGGAAAAAAGAAATTCCATAGTCTAAGAATTCAACCCAATACATTCAAGCAGAAGCCATTTTTATAAGAGGGTGTTTCCATTCCACAATATAAAAGAAAATTATAGTAATAATTTATTATGCGCACGAATTTCAACTCATCATTTTTATTTTCTATGTAAATAACTCCATTTTCAATTCTTAAAGCAAATTTTACTTTTTAAATAGAGATTTGTTCAAATATATCATTAATTATTATATTAAAATATCAGGTAACCCCTTAATAGAGCGAAACGGAGCACTACCTACCTACTATTTTGATTTGCTGTGGCGATATTTAGCCAAAGGAAAATACTGTGCTTCTATTGTGAAAATTGCTATACTAGATATAATAGACCCTAAATGATCTTACGTATGAATACGATTTAATTTGATCT